CTGTTACAATGATGGCACTAGCAACATGCGGCAATGCGGGGTGAGTTTAATGTACAAAAAATATTGATGACGAAAGAAAATGTTCAACTTATTATGTACATTGTTTTGCATATTAACTCCAATTAGCATTAGTTGTGATCCCAAAAAATCATGTTAAAGTTATTTCTTTTTTAATATAGTTGTTAATTTGATAAACATTGTTGATAGTTCGTGAAAAAGAATAGACATGTTTAGAGGAAAACTTTACAATAAAATTATTGAGAAACTAGAAAGTGGAGTTATCAAATGTAGAGGTTTGAGATAGGAACTTGCTCTTCAAAGGCTCCGAGACACTTGTTGGGGTTTAGTTATGGTTCACTACAACAACAAGAACAATATGAATATCAAGCATTTATCCCACTTCATGGGGTCAACTACATGAATTATTTTTTTTATTGTGTCATGTTAAGAGTCAGCTTCTTATTTAATTCTAATAAAAAAAGTCATTTCTAATATTTTCTAACCAAATCTTTTTAGCTCTACCTCAACCTATCTTAACATAAGCCAAATCTAATACATATAGCCTCCTAACTGCGTCATTAGAAGGCCGATGACATTTTATGTGATCAAACCATCTAAGGTAACTCTCTTCAATCTTATCTACAATTGGAGCTACTCCAACTATTTTGTGTATACGTTCGTTTCACATTCTATCACACTATGGTTCACTCATCAGTTTAATTCTTTTGTTTGGATCTTTAACTGAGTTTCTTGATATAATACTACAAAACGAATCTAGGAGTGAACAAAAAGGTGAATTATATAGCATACTTGATTTTATATAAAGGTTTAAATTTATTTTTAATTTGCATATGATGAATACTATATTAGGAGTCACAAATAAGTTATCACAAGTGATGTAAAGAAATGATCAATATATTATAAATATCATGACTTTGGTAAATATTTCAAAATATAAAAGATGATGAGTGAGACACTTTATTTAAAGAAGTTAGACAATTTTGTAAGAAAAATAACATAATTATTCCAAATATGATAGATACACTTGTAATTCGAGGAAGATTAAGACGCTGCACTCAAACTATCACAAAAAAACATCATCATCAAATAAAATTATTTCACAGTGTGATAAATATGTAATTTCAAGAGCTCAAAAATGGGTTTGATGAAATAAGTATGGAGTTACTTGTGTGTGTGTGACATGTCTGAACATGAGACATGTCTGGTCATGAGATTTATTTTCAACTTTTGATAAATAATAATTGATCCGCCTGACAAAAGTTTATCTATCAAACTTTTCAGAAATAGATCTCATCAAATTAGATAACTAAATTAAAAATTTTATTGTTGATATAAGATCAACCAATGCAACCATCAATTTACATGGAATTGAAGAACTTGCTAAAAAATTTGTGAAAACTAAGAAGAATGAAATTTATTCTTTGATGTTCTTATTTATAAAACTTATTATGCTATATATTATCAATTGCTACAACACTCAAATGAGTATTCTCTGTAATGAACATTATAAGAGGCCGTTAATGCAATCATATGGGAGATACTCGAATGAATGATTGTCTAGTTACTTATATTGAAAAAGATATATTAAAAGTATTGATAATGAAATAATTGTATAAAAATTTCAAAAAATGAAGACACTAAGGGAGAAACTATAGGTAATTTGTAAGGAAAATATCAAGAAATAATATTTTCAATTCTAAAAATTTTTATCATACATTCTATTTTATTATAGTGATACTCAAAAAAAAAAACTAAATCTCTAATGTCTGTCTCAAGCCCATACGTAAAAGTTAAGGATTTTTTTAAATTCAATAATTTGTGTCCCTATTTGCAAAAAATTCTAGCTATACATGCCATATGATATAGACATAATCCATAGCAATGCATAGATTTTTTTTTTTTTCTAATCGTTCAATATCTGTTGTATATTTTAAGATCAACATTAATGATAATAATATTATTATAAATAACAGCTTTATTATATATAGTTTGCTGCTGTAAAGTGTTTCAATCCTTTATAAGATGGTTGTATGTACGTTTCAATTAACCTTTCCCAGTTTAGATTATGTGATTTTTTTAAAAAAATAATAATAGAAAAGACAGCATTTGTCTAAGTTATCTTTATAAAATTTTAAATAACAAAATATTATGATTATATAATATCATAAATAAATTTCTATAAAAAGTTTTAAATAAAATGAACATTCATTATAAGTGTACTCTATAATATTAATGTGCATAAGGTCTTAGCATTTTTATTTCACACAATCTGATGAGCTTTAAAATTATTTGATAATGTGTGCAAGTTTTGAAGTTTTTAAAATGAAGATTTTTTCCCCTTATTTTTAGTTCATGTGCTATTTGCTTTTGATCTTGTTAAATGTTTTTTTCACTTTTTTTAAAAGGATTTTTTTTTCTTAATTTTTTTTATTTATAGTTGAAAAATAAACATTTAGAAGTTAGCTAGTTACATACTTTAGATGAATATTACTATTTTCTCTCTTGATGTCTTGCAATAAAATTTTGTTTTTAATGCTATTTTTTAATACATATATAATTGAATTTGTAATAAAGTTTGTTCTATAAATGGTTAGACGTCTAAGTAGCCATAAAAATAGTATTAATATGTGACTTTAAGAAAATATTGTTGAATACAAAATATAGATAAAAATAAATATAATCACCCTAAAAATATGTTAATTCATTGAGAAGAATTATGAGTTATGTTCATGAATCGGTTGAAATGTAAAATCGAGATTTTTGATCTTTCATTTTTTGAAGTGGTGTTATCCAAGAGAGCAAGAGATATCTTCTTTTTTCAATCAAGATGAAAAATGAGGGAATTGAGAACTTCAACAGCTTAAACTTGAGACCATGACTCTTTTTATACTTTAAGCATATTTATTTTATTTCAGTTTATCATTAAAAAAAAAATTCTACATGATATTTAATTTCATACAAATTAAATAAAATGTTACGCAGGTCAAATAATAATTTAATTTCTTAAGTAGATCACAAATCTAATTGGTTCAATTTTAGATAGCAAATAATGTATAATATATATGGGTCCACATATAAATTTTTTTCAACAAATACATTATTTATTTATTTGGCATTTGTTTCATATTTTTATCTTATAGTTTTACTTTAATTTATTCTGACGAAAATAGTTTAATGTACCCATAAATTTTTTTTCTTTCATAAAAATTTGGATAAAGCAATTTATTATTTACATTATTTTCATTCAAACATATCTACAAAATAATAATAATTCATTTATATTTTACTCATGTTCTTTTTTTTTTTAATTATATCAACGTGCATTTATTGTACATGAAATTAAATTATATGTATCAAAATTTAGTATATAAGATTATGATTATTCAATTTCAGAAATAAAAAAATATATAGAATAAAAAAAAATTAAATATATTCTAAGTCAGTCTTATAATATAGGTTTTATGTTTACAAAGGCTTCGTTTGGGACGATTTTTTTTTTTTTTTACTTCTTAAAGTAAAATTTTAGTAAAAAAATTTTAACAAGTCCGAGCCTAAGTCAACTTCAAATTTTTTTAGAAATAAGAAAATAAATTAAATTTAAATATTTTTAGTGGAATAATACTTATTAATAATGAATTTTTTATCATATTTATTATTTTCTGAAATTTAGCAACAAGCATTTAATGTACGTATATTTAAATTATAGGTATTAAATATAATGATTGCTAGCTGTAAGCCAAAAATTATCGAAAAAATTCTTTGCATAAAAAAGGAAAATATCTAAATCTTTTTGAACAATCAATATTCCTTGTTGAATTGGGAACAATAGCTTTTTTTTTTTGGGGGAAATTTTGGGGCATTAAGCCCATTCATTGCATAAAAAGATTACAAGTAAGTAAAAAACCAAACTATAATCCAACAATCTCAAGAACAAAAAGAGATTATGGATTCTAAAGAAAAGAAAAATACATTCAAAAGAGAAAAGAATAACTAATAGGCTGAAAGCCGTGGACTCAGAAAAAGCTCATCATCTCGAAAGGGTCAAAAACTCGATAGGGTCATAGAATGAGCATAGCCTCTGGTTGCCCAGAAGACCGTCCAAGAGGCAGCTGAGCAAAGTCAGCGTTCATCATCGTCCAACCAAAATTTTCTTCTCCCACAGCAGCAAAATCCTCTGGCCAAGCAGTAAGCCAGGAATACCAGCATAGAGTCTTCAGCGAATTATACATTCCAGAACTAGCAAAACAACGACTCCCAGCAGACAGAGATTAGAAATTACAGTTTTACTTCCAGCATAGCATCTTAAGCAGCACAGCTTTCTTGATTTTAGCCTTGATTGTGATTTTGCAATCATAAACCCCACCAAAAAATCTATTATTCCTTGCTCTCCAAATAAAATAAATAGTAGCTGAAACAGTCAGAAGGAATTGATTTCTGGTTTTAGCGTTAAAGCCTTGCTCCCATATGCTATCATACATTTGGTGTAAATTTGGTCTCAAAAGATGCTGTTGCGTCCATGATAATAAATTTTTAACAATGTCAAAAGTGAAACTGCATTCAAAATAAAGATGGGAAGTAGTTTCCCTATCAGTATGACAAAAACAGCAATTATTAGGCACCATAACTCCACACGGGTAACAATAGTCTATCTGGTCAAATTTTGGCCAATTAAATAACCCGTTCAAAAATTTTTGCCCCGTCATGCTCGCTAATAGCTTGCTTGCAGGCCAAGCCAATGCATCTGGACAAATTTTGGCTAGTTAAATCAGCCATTTAAAATAATAATAATATATTATTTATAGATAGTTTTATATTGAACTAACTTAATATTTATAAATCTAATTAATAATTATATAATTTAGTAATTTTTTATTAGTATTTACTAATAATTTTAGTAAACCATTTGTTTATCTCTCCTGTTAAGCTAAGCTCTCTGTATTGACCGTTCTTCCTTCACCACTCACTATATGTCAAAGCCGTCTGTCTGATCTTTAGCCCGCCCGACTTTGTTGAACAAAATTTTGTTTTTCTCTAAATTCTTACAACAACTGGAAGAAGATTGGAGGAATGTTTTAAGTCAGTCCGCCGAACCATCTTGCCGAGGAGTACAATTCAAATAATCTCTGCTTCATATATATTTAAAAAAAAAAGCTTATTTCCATGGCTATAAAGTTCAGCTGCTCCCCTTAAATTTCCCACCAGTGAAGAAAAGAGCAATCTTTTCTCCTCAGTTTCAGTCGCCCACCATGAGCTCCGAAGCTGATGACTGCAACTCAAATACAGAGCGCCTCCACTTTCTTCTCGTCCCTCTCATGGCCCAGGGCCACATGATCCCCATGATCGATTTAGCTAGGCTCCTTGTAGCCCGCGGCGCCCTCGTCACTTTTGTTACTACGCCGGTCAACCTGGCCCGCATCCAACCCATCGTCGATCGAGCTGCAGCCGCTGCCCTCCCTATCCGCTTCGCCGAGCTTCCCTTTCCGGCGACGGATGTCGGCCTCCCTGACGGGTGCGAGAATTGCGACCTCATCCCCTCCGTCGACCTCTACCTCCCATTCATGAAGGCTCTGTCCCTCCTTCGTGAACCGCTTGAGGCCTACTTGTGCGTCCCTGATCCGTCCTGGTGGCCCAAGCCTTCTTGCATCATTTCCGATAACACTCAATATTGGACTGCGGATTTCGCTCGCGCCCTCGAGATTCCCCGTCTCATATTCCATGGCCCCTCTTGCTTTTACCTCTTATGTTACCACCTCATTGATCGAAACAGAGCTGAGCTTGAGGCGGAGATGGAGGCGGCGTCAGGCAAGCCCGTCTTGCTTCCAGGACTCCCTCAACCCATTCAGATCCGCAAGCATGAGGTGGTCCCTGTCTGGCGCTCGAACCCTGCTTGGTTCGAATTCATAGAAGTTATTCGGATGGCCGGAGAATCCGCCGACGGTGTGCTTATTAACAGCTTTAAAGAGCTCGAGCCCTTGTACTTCGAGAGGTATCACGAGGTGACGGGGAAGGCAATATGGCCTGTTGGGCCTCTCTCACTCTACAAAGAAGAGTTCGATGCCAAGGCGACACGCGGGCGAGCTTCATCGATTGACCAGAAGCTCCTTTTTCAATGGCTAGACAAGCAAGAAGACGGGTCAGTGGTGTTCATCAGCTTTGGGAGCATTGCCCGGAATACAAAGGCCCAATTGGTGGAGCTCGGCGACGGGTTGGAGGCGTCAGGACGGCCTTTTGTTTGGGCGGTGAAAGAGGCATCGGATCGGCGAGTTTCGGGGCTGGATGAATGGATTGCAGAGTTCGAGGAGAAGGTGGAGGGGAGGGGGATTGTGATAAGGGGTTGGGCTCCGCAGACGGTGATATTGGAGCACAGAGCGGTGGGGGGATTTGTGACGCACTGCGGGTGGAATTCAACGTTAGAGGCGGTGGCTGCGGGGGTGGTAATGGCGACTTGGCCGCACTTCGCCGACCAGTTTTTGAACGAGCAATTGGTGGTGAATGTACTCAAGATTGGGGTAGCAGTTGGCGTCGAGGAGCCGACAGCGGTGGCGGTAGAGGATAATAAGGAGGAGGTTGTGAAAGTGAGGAGAGAGCAGGTTGAGAAGGCGTTGGAGGCATTGATGGCGGGAGGAGAGGAAGGGGAAGAGAGAAGGGTGAGGGTGAGGGAGCTAAGGGAGAAGGCGAGGATGGCCATGGAGGAAGGAGGGTCTTCATGGGAGGGATTGAAAGGTGTAATCAACTATGTGAAGCAGGCCGAAAAGGAAAAGGAAAAGGATAAGAGTAAGAAGCCTGCGGTACAGTAGGTAGTTTGCTAGCAAGTAGTCATTTTGAGGAGAAAACAAAAGCTGTGTCGCATAGTAAATTAGTAATTGCTATTTGATTTTTATTCAGCGGGATTTACATGCATGCCATTTTATTTCATACTATTTATATATCAAATATCTAAAATTTTTAAATTATATATTTACCATCCATATAATAAATATGGGTGCATGAAATGAAGGTGATATGAATGAAAAATATGAGTATTATATTTGATATTAGAATTTTATATGAACCGTAAGAATGTAAAATTAAATTTTTAGGTATTAAATATGTAAATACCATGAAATAAAGTGACATATAAATCCCCCTTTTCTTGATTAAGAAAGTGTAGTTTATAATGTTAGACCATGGTCCCCTAAACACTGTCGCCTAAACTGTGATCCTCCGACCATCATTGCTCGACTACTATTCTCCAACAATTCAATTATTCAAATATTAATTAATCTCTTAAAGATAACTCTCATGACACATAGATCTTACAATCTTCACCATGAGATATGTATGATATAATTTATGTCTATCTAAACCTTTCTCGATCAAGGAAAAGTAGGGGTGTTAAAATCAGGTTACGGGTCAGGTTCGGGTCGAATCCAACATTCACTCGCCACTATTTGACACAACCCGAACCGACCCATCTTTCAGACGTGTTAGAAATTTCAATCCGACCTGACCCGTCGGGTTTCCGAGTTGACCTGACCTAGCATAAAAGCACAGGGCGAGACGCGCCCAAATGGGAGAAAATGGTTATTTTTGCAACGATCGAGCTCCCTCATGTCGTCATTGTTACTTCCGATCCAATAAAATAATGACGAGCTGTCTTGATTTCTGACCTGACAGGATGGAACATCATCGAAGGAGGCGAAGTCTTCGCCTCTTTGGTGTGAGAATGCCTAGAAGCGCACAAATGGGAGAAGTCAAGAAAAATGTTACCTTCGCAATGAGCGAGCTCCCTCGGGACCCTCTCGTTACTTCCGATTTCGATCCAACAAAAGAATGGCGAGCTTCCATGACATCCGACCAAAAATAAAGGAATGTAGACGAAGGAGGTGAAGAAGTCTTTTTTCAACTTGTTCAAAACTTTACCTCATGCAGACTTGATGAGTTGGGGGAGTCGGCTCAGATCCGGGTCAACTTCTGGTTAGCGGTTTGATCCTAACCCGACCTGATTTTTCAAAAGGTCAAAATTTGGAACCTGAACCCGACATGTTTGCCAAATGTATTGACCATAACCCATAATGTTCACGTCGTGTGCGAGCCAGCTTTCCAGGTCGTGTCAAATATTGACACCCCTTTGGAGAAGGACACCACTTGTAAATAATAAAAAATATTAGTGTAATTTTTTCAGCTGAGCCAAGTCTAATGATTTTTCCTTAGTTTTGAATTTTTAACATAAATCTTTGATATTTCTTACGAATATTCTTTTATCTATAAGTTTGCTCGATCTTCCTACAAAATTAACTCATTAATCTCTCTCTGCTACTGTGCATATTCCAACCAAGATTATGAAAATTAGATATGACATAGAATTGGAAGAATGAGAGAGAGACTCAAGGTTGAATTATTCGATTGAAGTTGAACTGAGATTTGAACCGGATGACATAGTAAATATTAAAATTATTTTTAAGTAATATTTAAATGAAATAGTATCGATGTAATAATATAAAACTTTTATTAAAAAATAAAATGAATTTATACACAAATAATATTATTTCTAATTTTAAATTTAAATACCTTCTAGTTTAAATTTGAATTCACATACAAACTTGTAAATTTAACATAAATTATCATTAATTTGCATTATATATTTATATATAATTTACACGTATAAATTATATACCATTCACGTTAGATCATTTATCATTAAAACTAGATAAATAATTATTTTTTATGATATATATATA